TACAGTTCATTATAAAATGACTGAAAATAATTATTATATGACATGTTCACACACATATTTATTGTATAATGATTCGGTTTTTTATATGTATTGTATGCAATGAAAAATAAATTGTAGTCATTTTTTTCAACTTTTAATGGAATTTTTTTTTTAGTTAGAAGTAAGAACCCGTTGAAAAATTTTTCATATGTGAACATTTATGAATGTGAATAAACATATGTAATATGTTCATATATGTCCATATATCATTCTTTTTTTTTGTAAAATTATTGTTTAGTATATAAGATAAATAATAACCATAATAAGAAAACGTATAAATAATTAAAAGGATAATTTTTGCATTGTTCCTTTTTAAAAAAAAGTTTAGAGAAATTTGAAAAATTGCTCATACATAATTATATATGAACAAATATACATAATTATATATAACTGTATATAATTATACATGAGCAATAATTATACGTGAGCATTTTTTTATATTTCTCCAAACTTGAATTTTTCTAAAAGAAACAATGAGAAAATTACTCTCTTAATTATTTTCTATGTTTTCTAATTATTATTATTTTTATTATACGAAACAGTAGTTTTACAAAAGAAGGAAAGTTGTATGGTCATATATAGGTATACTTAATTTGTATATAAAATACATTATGTATATGTTTATATGTATTTATATATGTCAGGGTTGTGCGCGTTACCTCCAAAAAAGTAATGCATTATCGTTACTTTTTGAAAAAAGTAACTCATTACCGTTACCAATTTTAAAAAGTCACGCTTTACTTTTCTGTTCTGAAAGAATATCATGATACGATGTCATAAATATTCTCGTTTTAAGTCGACAATGCATCGAAATTGACTCATAGGGTGCGTTCCGTTTCTCGCATGATGCGCATAATGCATCGTTTATCCTTGTTGCTCACCAAATGTTAAACAAGGACAATGGATGCATCATGCACATCATGCGCGATACGGAACGCACCTATAGTAAGCATCGAAAATTCATCGTATTTGAATCGTTTTGAACGTCGAAAATTCATCGAAGTCGAATCATTCCGAGGATCCAAAATTCATCGAATCGAGTACCACGAATTCATCGAAATCGGTTATTTCGAATATTTCGATCAGATTTCGAAACATGTTTTCGATGTCGATTTGATATCATTTCGATGAGTCATTTCTCGCTGAGTATAGATGCATCAATTGAAAAAAAACAACCGTTCTACGAACCGCGACATCTCGTGTCCCGTGTTTATTGTTTACTTTCGTGATTCGTCTTCGTCTACAATGATCATCAGATTCTAAAGTGAAGCTCGAGCTCCGACGAGATCGCTGTTTTACCGATAAAATGCGACATATCGACATATTTTTATATACTACTACATCAATATCGCACTCACACATACATACAAATTTTTTAACTAATTTTTCGTATTAAGTATCTAAATATAATTCTACCCAGACAGCACAAAGTCGTCCAAAAGATGATTAAAAGATAACTAAATTGTTATAAAGATATCTTTTAGTGAAAGAATATAGTCGACGAAAAGATGACTAAAAGACGATAGATGTCGCACTGCTAGTCATCTTATAGGCCGGCATTCATAGTCAGATCTTATATTCAAGACCGTCTTAAGTACAGTCTTAAGAAGTCACGAACCAATCAGAGGGCTGCATTAGCGTCTTAAGACATTACTTAAGACGGTCTTGAAATAAGAACCGACTATGAATACCGACCATAGTCTTATCCATATGATAACTAAAAGATGATTTCTTTGGATATCTTTTAGTCATCTTTAATACTTTTAGTTTTTATATTTTAATACATATAACGTTTAATACATCGAATTCCTAAATTAATTTTTACACAAAACGAAATAAAATTATATGACTGATAATATAATACGTCCCACTTTCTGCAATGTTTGCCGTGTCCTATGTGCAAGAGCCATTATCTTTCATCACAGTCCCCTTTGGCGACTCGATTACAAAAAAATATTTTATTAGTGTTCATTAGAACACGAGTAAAATTTCTCATTATGCTGAACCTTTTATTCTGTCCTGTATGATTTTCAAACACGAGAAACTGAACTCCATCACGTCCATCTGATGGCAATCTCGCGTACTGCTCGCGAATGAGTGATAAAAAGTACCAAAATAACGGAAAGATCTTTTTCATGTTGTCTTTTTGGCAATACGAAAAGATATCTTTTAGTCGACCTTTTGCTTTGCGAAAATGATAACCATAGAAAGATGACGAAAAGATGTCTTTTTTAAGTTGTCTTTTTGACAACTAAAATATGTCTTATATATAGACATCTTTTAGTCTTGCTGAAAAGATAATCTAAAAACAATGTCTTTTCGTCATCTTTTAGACACCTTTTTGCTTTGTCTGAGAGACAACTTAAAAAAGACCTCTTTTCGTTATCTTTTAGTATTTTATGCTGTTTGAGTAGATATTTCATATATATTTTATATAAAGCTTTATTCGAAATATTATTAAAATATATAGACTAAATATTTTATGTAATATTTATGATAAATATAAATAAATATCTCTAATAAGTATTTTTTACTTGGATTATAATGAGTGCATTCAGTATTACAACTTACAACTGCTCACTGGGCGCTCAGCGAGCTCTTGTATCTAATTGGCACTTTCCAATAGATCCAAAAATATAGACCAAACAGGTGCAAAAGCTCACTAAGAGTTCAGTGAGCGATTGTAGTACTGAATGCACCCAATGGGTGCATCCAGAAGCGACGACCGCTCACTGAGCGCTCACTATGTAAAAAAGGGATTAATCTATTTTTAATATATTTATTTATTATAATTCGTAACGTAGAATAACTTTGTCTACTATAGATAATCTTTAATATCATATTTCTTAATTATTTATTACTGTTTATTATTTCTTTAATGCCGTGTTTAGGCCGTAAGGTTATGTAGTGCTCAGTGAGCGATGGAGGCGACTTAAAATTACGCTCCACCGCTCACTGAGCACTACATAACCTTGCGGCCTAAACACAGCATTAAAGAAATAATAAATAGTAATGAATAATTAAGAAATATGATGTTAAAGATTATCTATAGACAAAGTTATTCTACGTTACGAATTATAATAAATAAACATATTAGTAATAGATTAATCCCTTTTTTGCTTAGTGAGCACAGATTTATTTATAATAAATGTTTATGATCTGTGTAATCTCTAAGACCACAAAAATATTTAAAATAAATCTTATAAATCTTATAAATCTTATAAATATTTACAAATATTTTGTAAATATTTTATAAATATTGTGTGCTGTCTGGGTAAGTACTTAACATTAATTGTTCATGTAACATCTAGTCCAAACCAAGATTGTTTTATATGTACGAAGTATAAAACTCGTATATAAAGTAAACATTATTACAAGTCGACGTTAAAAATCGGTAACAAAACTGTAATTTTCTAATTTTTTTCGGTTTTGGCATAAAATCGACCGGTTTGGACTACATTATCGTTTATATACTTTAATTATGGAGAAGGATTTTTTAATCTGTAAAGACAGTTAGAAAAATACTTGTTTGTAAAAATTGATCAATAGATTCGGGTGGCACCCGGTTGGACACGGCTCAATTAGACACGAGCCATTCACAGCGCTTGAGACTACAAAGCTCCTAAGCACCGGTCGCTGTGATTGGTGGTGTCCAATCGAGCCGTGATCAATCGGGATCACCCCATAGATTCACTTTATAGCGTTTTCGGCTCGATCGGGTTTGCACCAACCTGGGTTGGATTAATCTTTCCTATTGGTTGACGTTACCCGCTCTACCAATAGGAGAGCACAAAACGCCATTAATCCAACCCAAGTTGGTGCAAACCTGGCCGGGCCGAAAACGCTATTAGAATCTCCTAAGTCCGGATTTACAATAGATTTTTAAGCCTTAAGGGGATGCTGGAGGGACCCAATTATCGACATTGCAGTTTGATCAAATCTCCAAATTGACTAAATGGAATAAAAAATCCTTTTACAGGATTATAAAGTAAACGCAAAATCCTGATGTGGCGCAGTGGATGTTATACTAAAATCGAAAAAAAAAGTAAAAAATATTTTTAACTTTTTTTATTTTAGTATGAAATCCACTGTACCACGTAAGGATTTTGCGTTTACTATAATCCTGTAAAAGGATTTTTTATTCCATTTAGTCAATTCGGAGATTTTGATCAAACTGCAATGTCGATAATTGGGTCCCTCCAGCATCCCCTTAAGCCATAAAGAATGGACAAATTATAGTCGATTATTCTTCTTATATTCGATTGTAAAGGGTCCTCTACATAAGTTGTAGACGGTCGTGGAATCTTAAGTCATAGGAAACTGACCAATTCTAATCGAGTATTCTCCTTATATTTGATTGTGATTGGTTGATTTCCTACAACTTAAGACTCCACGACCATCTACGACTTCTGTGTAGAGGACCCTTTGGTCAGTTTCTTATGCAGGGTCTACAATAGAAATCGTAGCAGTCGTAGAGTCTTAAGTCGTAGAAAATTTTAATTTTCTACGACTTAAGACTCTACGACTGCTACGACTTCTATTGTAGACCCCGCTTTACGGCTTAAGACTTAAAACACTTATTGTAGATCTGGATTTAAAGGCTGTCCTTTTTGCTAAATTTTTGACACCAGTTCATCTTTCTTCTTTTTTTCTCCACGAAGAAAAACAGAGAAAAGAGATGTACCGCGCAAGTTCAGCTAGAAAGAACAGGCTTCTAAAAAAAGCGGGAACAAGCCGAACAAGTAGCGAGAAACGCACCTGTTAATGTTAGTCGAGGATGATCGTGAATCAAAACTGAAGAAAAGGTCACGAAAGGATCAGAAGAAGAGAAAGTATACAACGCGACAAAGGAGAAAACGCGTTCGTACGAACAGCGACGAGCAACGAACTAATAAATGTTTACGCCTGAAGCCTGAATCGACGTTAATTCATTCTCTGTGATCGAAAGGGTATTCAATTACTTAGGATACTCAGCTGGTACTACTCTCAGTTTATGAAAGAATCTTTAAAAGTATTGTCGAGAGTCTCCTTATTCAAAGTATTACTTCGTTTGGTCTGTATTGTCTATAACACTAAATCTATTTTTGTATAGATGCCTTACATAAAACTACAAAGTTCTGATGGCGAAATATTCGAGGTTGATGTTAAAATAGTAAAGCATTCGAATATGAAGACTATATTGGAAAATCTTGATTTGAATGAAGGTGAGGAAAAGGTTGTACCGTTGCGAAATATAAACTCTGCAACGCTAGAAAAGATCATGTGCAAAACTATTGCTAATATGATCAAAGGCAAGACACCTGAAGAGATTCGCAAAACATTCAATATCGAGAACGATTTTACAGCTTCTGAAGAAGAACAAGTGCGCAAGGAGAATGGATGGTGTGAGAAAAAATAAATATAGTCAAAATCAAACATTCCTTATGTATAATTATGTACAAAATTATGCATAATTTTGTATGAGCATTTTTTTTATATTTCTTCAAACTTGAGTTTTTCTAAAATAAATAGTGTGAAAATTAATCTTTTAATTGTTTTTGATAATTATTTAGAATAACCCCCCCACCTCAAATCATATACATATTTCGTATATGATTATGCATATTATGAATAGAATTTTATTATTTCAGCTTACAATTGCCGAAAAAAGAGACTTAGTTTACAATAAATCTCTTAAACTCGTCCTTCCACACAGCAGATAAAAAAAAACCTAACCTATTTGATTCTATCTTTATTTTTTATGCACTACGTCGCAAATATCTTATGAATGTTTATGTATGTTTATACATATTAAACATATTCATGCATGAAAAATTTTTTTATATTTTATGGGATATACTTATACTTTGCTCTTAAAATTTAATAAAGTTCTTGAATGTTACCGATATCCAAGGACAACATATTTTGAATCTTATTTGCAAGCTTCTAGCATACGACTTTAGGCAACGCTGATGATTTTATATAATATAATATTATAAATTTATCTTCTGTTGCATCTTTCAAATCCTTAGAAAAACAAGCTAAATTTTTAAATATAAAAACTTAGCCAATATTAAACCTTGCTAGTCATGATTCTTTTCTTATAACTTTCGCATTTACATGCAATTCGTAAGATTACAAGTTGAGAACATATGTCTCCTAACCTTAACGTCAAAACATAACCTACAATGGGCTCAATTTAAATAAATGTTTAATATTTTCTTATTTCATTCGTATTATACGAAAAAAAATTGTTACTAACATTAATTGTTAGAGGAATACATTTTTTAAATGTAACGCGAATGGGTAAACGAAATCTGTACTATGAGCCAAACAAGTGAGTATTGATATAAGCAACTATTTGTACGTAATAATTATATAGATTTTTATTTGTGATATAAATCATTTGTTTCTAAATGTATACGAGTATTGTATTTAAACGATGTATTCATCGAGTTTCTCACGTTTTTTTTTTTTAGCTAATTGTATTGAAAAATTAAAGACACAAAATGATAGAAGTGTTCCACAAACTTTACACAATGAATGCAATTGGCTTTATCTTAACAAATCAGTTATAGAATATCATGATTTAGAAAATATTAAGATTATAAGTTACAGAGAACTAAAAGCAGCAAAAGAAATAGTTTCTAATCATTTAAAACATATAGTATGTTCCGAATTTATTGGTATTGACTTCAATATTTTGGAGTACTGTGTGCCTTCTTTGATGCTTGGGTAAAATACTATTATTTTTATCTGATATATTTAATTGGATAATTCATTGTTCTGGGTATTTATGTTGAATTCATATTTTGACAGAATTCTTAATAGCGGACATGCTTTCTTCAATGTACCTACAGATCCATTGACATATACAGAGATATTTACTTCTTTAAATGTAAAATACATTTTTACAACATCTGTAACCTCCAACAGAAACATTATACATCTCTTTAATATTCATGGACAGTCGATATATTTAACAAAATTAGTAGACATCCAAGAAAATTATAATAGAAGATGGTATCATTTTGCATATGCAATTGCCACTTCGGGATCGACTGGAACACCAAAAGTTGTCAAAGTACCCCATTCATGTATATTGCCTAATATTGTGGATTTGAAGAAAATTCTGGATATAACGAGCTCCGATAAAATAGCACAACTAACAAATTTTACTTTTGATCCTAGTATTATTGAAATTTTCTTAAACCTTTGTTATGCTGCAACTCTATTTATGGTTTCAAAAGCATTAAAGAATGAACCTGCCAGGTGAATATCTTTAAATATTATATAAATCCATGTTAATAAACAAATGCCAAAAAATAATAGAATTAACAGCACAGAAATATAAATATGTTTTAGGCTCTTAGAAAAAATATTCCATGCTCGTGTAACAATTCTTCAAATTACTCCATCACTTCTCTTCCATCAATGGTCTACTAAACGCTTGAAAACAACAATTTTGGACAAAGATTCTAAGCTAAGAATTCTTCTTTTGGGTGGAGAATCGTTCCCTAGCATGAAATTGCTTTCGAAAGCTAGTCATCCACGAAATACAACACGATTATTTAATATTTATGGTATAACCGAAGTATCGTGTTGGTCTAGTATTAATGAAATTGTCAAAAACAATGTAGATGAGCCTTGTTTAGGTGAACCTTTATCAGAAACTATATTTCAAATCAGAAATGAAGATAATGAAATAGCAGTTAGAGGCGATGGCACTCTTTATATTGGTTAGTTTTGAACATTATAAATATGTGTGAAATATTTTTATAAAACCTATTTTTATATAAACTATTATTTCACACGTTTTTCAATATAGGAAGTACCACTAGGATTTGTATTGTTGGAAATGAAGCTGAACAAGATCTGAATAAACCAGTTTTTCGCGATACTGGTGACATTGTTTCCGTAAGTTCTGTTTATAAATTAATTATTTAGAGATTAATGGATCAATTCTAAGCAGAGTCATAAGCTCTCATAAGACATATAAGAACTTATGATTGAGATTTTATAGTTTTATATACTGTGTAAGATGTACGATCATTTGTAAATATCTAATGATTTTTCGCGTAAATCTTACGGCTAGCAAGAGAAACTATCTGTAAAGATGTTGCATAAAGTTATAAACACTTGTAAGTTCTTACAAGTGTTACGAGAATATGTTACGAGCCTTACGATTCTGCTTAGAATTTAGGTATTAGTTTCATAATTTAATTTGTCCAAGACTGTTTTCAATAATAAAGATGAATCTTTTCATATTTGTTATTTCTGGTTTTCTAGGTAGATGATCAACATAGAATATTTTATAGAGGAAGACGAAATAATATTGTAAAAAGATTTGGAAACAAGGTGAACTTACGAGAGCTTGAGAGAGTTACGATGGAATTGAGTTTTGTACGAAATTGTGTTGTATTTTGGGACGCAGAGCGCCACAAATTATATCTATGTTTATCTATTATAGACGCAAAAGAAAAATTTTCTGAATTGAGAGATGACGTAATGTCGCATTTAAAGTTATTACCTGCGATCTATAAACCTGACAAGATAATCATAGTAGAACGCTTTAACTTTACTACTAGTGGAAAGATTTGCCAGACATCATTGAGAGAAATATGTAGGAATTCCGAAATAGAAATTGATAGAGTAAATAACTTATACATTAATGAAATATTTGAAAACTTGTGGAACAATCACATTAAATCTAGAAACGCTGGTTTTTTAATGTCAGGGGGTACATCAATAGCAGCGCTTCAGATCTCAAGCGCTGCCACTCAAGCCTTTAATATAGAATTTCCTGAATTAATTGGAATGTTGTTGAAAGATTTTACATTCAACCAGTGCATCAGTTACATCAGAAATATTTTAATTAGCCGAGATTGTGACAAATTTGTTATTGGTTCCATCGATATGTCTGTTAATGATAAGATATTTAGTAAAGATACTAAGAAGATACTTAATACAGAAGAGTACATAATAAAACAATCGCAAAAGAATTTTCCACTAGTATCAAATGAGAACCATTCTTATCATTGGTACAAATGCAGGGGAAAAACTTACAATGATACATTAAAAAAAGAAGAAAATATCAAATCCCTTTTAGAAAATATATCAAACATTGAGATATTAAAAACTTACAATTTGCAGAAGTGCGTCGATGCCTCACCAACTATATATCGTTATTCCGTGTAAGAATGATTTTATAAAGAAAATTATTTTTTAATAAAATATACACAAAGATAATTCTCATAATCAATACTTCAGGAAGTGAAATGCAAAATAATACTAATATAAAACTATCGTTAATTTTTAGAACAGAACTGTACGCAACAGTCGCTTCACATTCCGGCATTATATGTACTGTTAATTTGCTAAAAACCGATGTGTCATATGAAATAAAACTACCAAACAGAATAGAAGCTTCTGTTTTAATTCTAGCTGATTTTCGTGGAATTGTAGGTAAGCCCCGTATTAATATTGTAATTTAACAATTAATATTTAAACAATATCTTTATTTTAGACCGTATATGTGAGAAACACAATCAATACTAGAAATTAAAAAATGCCTATTACGGAAGCTGGATTTTCGTTGCTTAAATAATTCATTGAATTAATATTTAACAAATTATATGTTTTTAATTGCAGGTTGTTACGATGGATACATTTATTGTATCCATTTAAAAACTGGTGATATAATTTGGAAGTTCCAAACACAGGACATGGTTAAGTGCACGGCGATAATGTGTACGCAAGGGAGCAAGATATTTGTAGGGTCTTATGACTTTAATGTATATTGCCTCTCGACAAAGGTAGGCGACATTTTTAAATCAAGTATTATTATTACTATATCTCGATATTATTAACAATAAATTAATTAAAATTATATGATAGATAATGTGTGCTTTACTAAGTAAAATATAAAGTATCAAGAGACAAATCATTCACAGGATGGTATTCAAATTTGGAAAACTAAAGCGAGTCAAGGTGGAATTTGTGCTACCGGTTGCATGCATCAACAATCGTCTTCAGTTCTATTCGGAACATTAGATGGCTCATGCCTGGCTTTACATCAATCTTCAGGACGGATTATATGGAAACGTAAATTGCAGAATCCGATATTTGTTGCGCCTGTTGTGCTTCGGACTGGATACGCTTTATTTTGTTCTGTAGCTGGAACCCTCTGTTGTTTTGATATCGAAATCGATTGTCAGGTAAATGTATATCTTCCTTTTGTTGCTTCACGTGTTCTATCGACTTTTATTATTGTAGATGTGGCGATATGTGATATATGGCAATGTATTTTCGTACCCTGTGATATGGACTCCCGACTCTACGAGTAATGAGTACATCATATTAGCTAGTCATAATAAAAATCTATATTGTCTAGAAATGCCACAAAGAACAATTGAAGAAAATGAGCCAAAATTGAAATATATATTACAACTGCAATCACCGATTTTCGCGACTTCTTGGTGCGAAGATGGATATATGTTTGTAGCATGTACAGACGGCATCTTTAAAGTATTTGATCTTCTAGAAGGCAAATTGTTAGCGACCAAGCAACTTCCCGGCGAAACATTTTCTTCGCCAATTGTTCATAACGATCTTGCAGTTTTGGGATGTAGAGATAATCATTTATATGTTTTGAAACTTAGTTAAATATGATATAATAT